GAGAGATAGTATTTTCTTCTGTGTTCTCTGATCAGAATAAATACTTTTACACACTGAACACTTAAAATTTGTGAAAATATTTTATGGCTTAAAAATATTTTTCACAGTCACCTATCTGTGCAATTTTGCGAGATGGATCTGCTGCATTACTTTCTTTTCGGCTGAAGTTCAATTTTTTTTAATTTGTGAATAAAAGGACCTGAACAATCACACCACTGCATTTGGCAACAAGCACATTCGCAGCTCAAAAAGCGCACTGTACTGAATAAACAATGATGTGGAACAAGTGAAGTAACACTATTTCACCTCAGACACACAGCTAGATGTCGCTCCGGGTCAATCGGCTCTCTGAAATTATTTCTCTGCCTTCTCAAAATTTAATTTGACTTTTTCACAATGCGCTCAGTGTGCAATGGCCTTTACACAAAATTTTCCAGGAATCCCTTTGCTAAACATATGACAAATTGGTTAAGATTTGCAAATTTCTGCTTTTAATATAGTCGAGGTGAATGCACATTAGAGCTAATACTTTAAGCTAAGACATCATCATGTGCCAACAGTGGAGGCTGATTCCTTACCATCGCTCTACATGGAGAGAGGAGAAGGTCTTGAGTGCAGCCTCACGTGTGAAAAGCTTGAAGCCACACTGAGTGTCCTTGATTCCCTTCACGCAAAAGAACCACACCAGGAAGTGGAAGCCATACATAAGGAACGTACGAAACAAAGACCGCTGCAAAGACACCAAAGTGTGGTTATTTACTGCTCTGAAATTTGTTTTCGAACACATTATTTTTTTAAGCAGAATAAAATAAAACCCTGTTACCTGAGCTACAGAGTCTTTCTCTAGGTGAGCTCTGGATCCACATGAAATTGCCATGTTCTCCTAGATGTGAGAGCAGCACATGAGGTGTTAGGCTTGGCCACATTTTAACCACTTTTACACACTTATATATCGAATAAGTGAAACTGAATTTAAAACAGAACAGAACACCATCACACCGGCTTGGGGTTGAGGTCATTGAGTCCAGCCTCCACTTTCTCAATGTCAGAAAACTTTGTGGCTCCATCAGCATCTGCCATCAGAATGACTTTCCCTCTGGAGCTCAGAGTTCCCTTTAAAAGAAAAAGAGATAAAAAAAACAAAACAAAAAAAACCAAAGTCATCTCCAAACTGCTGCTTCAGGGTTCCCATTTGGACACACACTGTAATCTCACATCTACAATCTCACCATCCGCACAGCTCCTCCTTTCCCTCTGTTTTTCACCAGCGTCAGGACGCGCACTTTATCAGCACTGTACTTCGTAGTGTACCGCAAAGCAACCTGCCAGGACAACACAACAGTGTCCACTCATGAAACCGATTTATACCGGCTGAAAATGTTTAGCTGAGCAAAACGGAGTTGTGCTAAAATAGAAGGCCTGGTTACATTTGCCCCAAAAAAGATATAAAATTACTACCTCTGTGGTTTTGTCTTTGCTGCCATCATCCACCACGATGACCTCATAGGTAAAAGAGGGGTTTTGTTTCTGCAGTCAGAAAAAAAACAGACAAAAAAACAAAAACAGGAGAGACTTGTTTCACAACAGCCACTTTACCCAGATCATTGTTGCCACCTACTGGTAAGTCTGAGAATAACATATCCAGAAATATATGTTGTTTTTTTTTTTTGTTTGTTTTTTTAAATAATGAACATTATTCATCATCAGTGCAGACAAAAAGGCACTAACATCAGTTTTTCAAGAAACCTATATACACAAGGTTGCGGAAAAAAAGGAACCAGTGACCAAAAAATGTAAACAAAATATAAAAAAAACAAAACAAAAAACAATCTTGAACTGTATCTCTGAAAAGATACAACTAATTTAAGGGCTTTCTTGTCATTAAAATTTTTAAGCCATCTGTTTATACATAGTTTAGCCTTAAAGTATCTACATTTATTAATTAATAAATGTTCTTAATAAAAACACTGTCCTGATAACAGTCTTTTTTTTTTTGTTTGCTTTTTGTGTGTCAGATTTTGATTATAAATAAATATCCCAAATGTAATTACAGTTACTGTTAAATGTGGTAATTGGATATCTGGTGATACATGTCGTTGTATATGCTTTAAATGTGCTGCTTTTTACTGTAAATATAATTAAGCTTTAATTCAGGCTCTGCACTTACCTGCCTGTTTTCCAAGTATTCCATAGCTTCATCCATCATCACTGGTACTGAAGGGACACACAGTAACACACATATAATAGCAAGCACAACCTACTGCAGGTGCACAGTGACATGACGTCTGACTGCAGCAACCTGGATGGATTGCACTACTAACGCCTAAGTGAAAACTGTGACTATTTACAGTGTGTGTCTAATGTGGGCATTCATAATGACTGATTGAGCAGAAAAGCAGACTTTACTCACATCGGAGCTCCTCGTTGTAGGCCGGGACCACCACAGAGAGCTCCCTGGAATGGGGATCATGCAGACTGGGGAAGAGCCGCTTCTCTCCGGTGGCGGTGAGAAAGTATTTCTCCTTCTCATGGCGTGTCAGGTCCACCATCCCTGCGGTTAAGTGTGCTATTACGAGCAACTGAAAAGTGAGACATTGTTTCATAAGTCTTGTGGTTTGTTTAGATCCAAGACTGAAAACCTACACTTCGCTTCCATGTTCGTTTTAGAGAGAATACCTTATAAGACTTTCTAGACTCATGATAACATATGGTACATATTTGCTTGCATGCTTTTAGATATAGACCAGTTTCTAAAGTTTTACATTTTAGGATATAATAAAAAATAATCTCATCCTTAGCAGATCTTAAAATTGAGTAAATACAACCTCAGATGAACTACAAAATGTGACATAGGAATGCAGAGAGTAATTAGCAGTCAGGTGCCTGCTATTAACTAATGATTAGCAAGTTTGAGCACCTCTATAAAAAAAAAAAGAAGGTCGTTTTCTGGTCTGTGTTACCCCATCCCAGGGGTGGAGTAACACAATGCCAAGGAGGAAAGAGATCAGCTGTGTCTGTCATCATCAGCTTGCTTCTCTGTGCTAGAGAAGCAATTGGTGGTTTTATATATGCTTTCTATAGTCAATAGGACTAAAGCTCTGAATAAATACCAATCAATACATGATTTATTTACAACCAAAAGATCCGGTATCAGCCAATGTCTAGTTTTTCTGAATTAAATGTTGCTCCGTTTCATGCTCAGATATTTTTTCTGCATGACACTTGACCCCTCTGTTGCTTTAGAACAGAATGAAGAGGAAGTATCATAAAACTGAGGTACATGAACAGGCCTGTAAAAGTCTACAAGTGGCCTGAGTCAAACACAATGCTCAAGGATAACTTGGAAAAAGTACAAAAGGAAAGATACCCACGCTATCACTGTAACTGTATTTGGGCAACTTCTCCCAAAACAACTTAGCTACAGCATCTCTCATCCAAAGCACTGATTACTCACCACGACGAAAACTACAGCTGCCAGTGCGACGAGGGCTTGAACTATTTCACAGAGGAAATCCATTTTCCATCAGGTTACCTACCCTACACCCACTGACAGACAGACCACCTGCAGGGGCTAGCTCAGAAGCTAGCTGGCTTTCTCCTTTCTTTTGCTTTTTGACACACAGCCTGTGCTCTAACTTCCTGGTGTGTCCAAATATATGTACCAAATTACGGGCTTACGATATCATTCAGAAGGTTAAAATGTTAAATATGAGTCCTTATGTTTCCATTGCTGTGAGGACACTTCACCTAACTCCACTTCCAATCACAACTGAACACAACGACGATACGGAAGTAGTGACTGTTTTTCTCCCACATCATCATATTGGAGCAGGAGAACAACGAGCGGCACAGTACCGCTCGGCGCTGGGGCACACTGCCTCATAGCGGACAGGGGTGGAAATGGTGGCAAGGACTCTCTTTAACGTGTACGGTACATAAAGAAAAAAGGGAGGTATAATGCTAGGAAAAATATGAGCATTTGTCAAAGCAATAAAGACTTTTCTTCTAGTCCGCAACATTTTGTTGTAACATTTATGGAAAACAATAACCTGCATCCCAGCAAACAGTCCCCAATTCCCTAAAGGTCATATTTTGGACAAAAATGATTTTGTAAAACCTATCGGAAATGTTTCCTGAAGATTTCCTACAAGTTCAGCAAAAATATAAAAAGCAACTCAATAAATGGCTGGAGTTTATTTACTTGCAGATAGATTTGATCAGAGACGACTATGGACAGTATAAGGTTATGATTTGGTTAGAAACGCGTTTGGTTAAACTTTGGTTATGCGCTTCTTCCTACCCGGCTACCGTAGGTCATAGCGCGAACCCACGTGGTTAATCAAAACATCATGGCGGCTGGCTTCAAGTAAGAATATACAAGCTCTCCGTTCTATGTTAGGGAAAATATCACTTTTTGTTTGCTCTGTATATTTTTTCCTGTACTTACCAGCGGAGTAAATGCATATTTGGTGTTATAATAAATTAAATTATTTATTACACAAAATAAAACAAAAATACCGGACATCATGCATGTGACAAACAGCGCACTTTATTCATTCTTGTGTCACAGCTGTAGTTTATGACTGGCTCAGATATTTGTCATTGACGTGTATAGCGTGAGTACTCGGTCACTCTCATCGCTGTGCTGTTTCTGACGGAGCTTCTGATGTGTCTGTGCTGTGGCTTTCTTTACCGCGTTCCCTTTTAACTTGCAGGACTGCTGAGCCTCTGGAGTACCACCGGAGCTTTCTGGTCAGTGTTGAAAACAAGTTTATCCCACACTTGACAGACAAGTGTTGCTCTCTGGATAGATATGAACTTTTATTTGTTTCTCGTTTCTCTTCAGAAAGAAAACTGTCGGCCTGATGGACGAGAGCTGACCGAATTCAGAACCACAACACTGAACATAGGTGAGACTTCCCCACAGTGTGTGTGTGCGAGAGAGAAGTTTCTGTAACCTACATAGGATTTTTAATTTTATTTCCATGTTTAGGGTCAATTTCCACAGCAAATGGCTCAGCCCTGGTGAAGCTTGGAAACACCACAATCATATGTGGAATTAAAGCGGTAAACACATTTGCTTTTCCTTTTTGTTGTTGTTGTTGTTTTTTTATTTAGTGAGTGTGGACCAGGTTGATGAGTACTCACCTATATCTCCTCCTCCTGCAGGAGCTAACAAACCCTACAGTGGAGGCACCTGGTAAAGGCTACATTGGTAGGTGTAGTAAGAAGTCTTCGTTTTCTCCCATTCTTTCTTTGTTAATTATCTGATATCACATCATTCAAACATTGATATAATCTCTGTCAGTGCCCAACGTGGACCTGCCACCCCTGTGTTCCTCTCGCTTTCGTCCGGGACCACCGGGAGAGCAGGCCCAGGCTGCCAGCCAGTTTATCGCTGATGTCATTGAAAGGTGCCCGACTTCAATATATGTTAGCTTTTTTATTTTTTTATGTTAAACGAGTGACAGTTTTTAAGCCTGGTGCTGGTTTAACTGAGTTTTTATGTGGATTTTTTCAGCTCTGAAGTGATAAAAACAGAGGATCTGTGCATCGACAGAGGAAAGGTAAACCCAAGAGTCGTGGGGCTACACTGACACACAATTTGACCTTTAATTATCCAGCCATGGGTACTAAAACTGTGGACTCTTGTTGCAGCTGTGCTGGGTGCTGTACTGTGACCTCATGTGTCTTGACTATGATGGGAACATATTGGATGCTTGTGTTATCGCACTGCTGGCTGCTCTAAAGAACAGTATGTAAATTTCTACTGTAATGTAAATTTAAAAAAAACAAACAAAAAAAACCTAAGTCCATGTGTTGTAACTGGTGATAATCAGTAGTTGAAACAAATCAGTAGTTTTTCTTTAAGCAGTACATGAACTTAACAGTATCCTGGCTCCTCACAGCACGACTCCCAGAAGTCACCATCAACAAGGAGACCTCTGCACCAGAGGTGAATTTAGAAAAGAGACGTGAGCTTCAGATTCACAAACATCTAGTCAGCGCTTCTTTTTGCATCTTTGATGAGTAAGTTTGTCTAGCCATTATAAAAAAAGAACAACCCAAAAAACAAATCTATAATCTCTATTTTTAAGTGACATGTGCTTCTTTTTCTAATGCTGGCCTAATCTTGCTGCAGTTCCATACTGATTGCGGACCCCACAGCTGAGGAGGAGACTCTGTCAACAGCAAACCTTACGGTGGTGACTGATGAGGATGACCGGCTCTGCTCTGTGCACAAGCCAGGTGAGAAATAAGTTTGAAGGGATTTGCCTTTCTGAGACTGCATGGTATGTAGCATGAACCTAATTGGTTTGAAGATATTTTGGGCTTATCCCTTACTGCAAGAGCCAAAGCGTGTAGCTGATTTGCCAGATTTAATGCCAATGTCCTTCCTGGCACGACGCCAAAGGGGATTTATGTTTCTAGTTGGGGTAGAATCAGCGATCCTTCGTTTGCTTGCCAAGCAAATGTGTTAACCACTACGCTATTGACTACTCCTTTACCTGATTTAGTATTAACACAAAAAAATGTCCTCAAAATACCCCTGTTGTATGAATTAATGCATGTGTAATAGTAACACCAACATAAACTGACGGCTTCAAAATGAACACTTAGGTTCAGTCAATAGAAATTAACAAAAGAAAAAAACAACAACTCAAAAATGCCAAAAAGACATTTTTAACTTAACTGGGAAATACTGTTCTATGCATTGCTACTTGTTGCTCAGGTGGGACATCACTGTCAGGAGAGAGGCTGCAGGAGTGTATCAGCCGAGCAACAACACGACAGAGAGAGATCCAGAAACTCATTGACAAAGTTGCACACAGTGTGAAGAAGGCACAATAATGACACTCGGACGATGCTTTTTTTTTTTTTATCTAAAAGCTGTATTTTTCACTGTCAATATATATTCTTTTTTTTAATAACAATAAAACTGCTGACAAAGACCGCTTTAAAAAATTATTTCTCAGTGTCCGGAAATGTCTCACACACACACTCAGTTGATGTCTCGTAAGAATACGCTCATGGCTCCTGTACTAATTAAAAGGAAATGCCTTTTCAAAATGTGCTGTACAAAAGCAGGTACACCATCTTGCATGATGATCTTGAGTCCTCGTTTGAGCCCTGTGCTGGGACTGCTAAAGAGAAGAAAGACTTCCAACAGACTGAGAGGTAGAGAGCTGCCCCCAGGCACAATTCCAAGATCAGATTTGCATTTCACATGTAACGGTTACACAGGGAGGATTTGGTGTCGGTAAGCTCAGTCGGGATCCGTGCTTAAAGGGCAGTTTCTACCTGGGTCAACCGAGCAGAGGCAGGAGGATCGGGCTTCTCGAGGGGAATCCTCTGAGAATGTGCATCTGCGATCCTCTCAGTTCACAGGGCCTCCATCAGAGACAGCTCTTCCACAACGGACGGGGGTGGTGCGTTATTGTGGAAGCCCACTACTTACAACAATCCTCTTCTGTGTCATCTCAAAAAATAGCATTAACAATTTTTTTTAACTTTAGGGCTCCCTTTTCTAACACCCCCCCCCCCCCCAAAATCCCCTATGGTGGACACAGTTTTGGTTCTCTCCCAAACATCTGACAACCATTACATACAAATTTGTCAGCTATAAAAAGACAAACAGAAAAGAGTTTTTTGTGGGGTTTTTCGTTGTTGTTGTTTTGCCTACACTCTCGACAGCGAGGCAGGTAAAGAGCACAATATGGATCATTCACGTCCTTTTGTGTGTGGATTTGGGCGGGGGGAAGGTTTTAGTGTGATTTAAGTCTTTCATGACTTGGGGAGGGGCTGAGGCGTGCTCCTCTTCCTCTTACTTCTTGGTTGACTGGCGGTATGGTGCCGTGGCACTCCCCCCTGAGGAGCTGCTGCTCCCATAGCCATTTGCTGCTGCTGCTGCATTTGGTGCTGCAAGAATTGCAACTGTTCAGTGCAAAAAGAAACATGGAAGAAGGACAAAAATAGACTTCAGTATGTTACTACAAATAAGATAATGCAGAAAGAATAATATTGACTTTAAGATTTATGTAAGCATCTCAAGCTCGTTTAACACATGTAAACTGGAATCCCTTGCTAAAACGTCGTCTAGCAGAGTGCCTTGTGTCGTACAACTGGCATGGGTTAGTGAAGCTGATCTAAAGCCTGATACATAGAACATACAAGAAGAGTGTGCGGAGAAACACAGGAGAGTGGTTAATGGGTTGCAGAGGGGAAGGAAGAGGAAGGAAGAGATAAGATTTGGGGCAGGTCATGTTTTGGGGAGTGAGGCGGGATACAGTCAAGCAGCACCAGTGGCGTCTGGAAGACAAAAATTATTGGCTGTGATCCTGGCATAAAAACAAACAAACAAACATGCAGCTCAGCAAACCGTGCGTTGTGCTCAGAGTAAGCCAGCAACCTCAACTGGGCAAAAAAAAAATCTTAACTCAGATTCATGCTTACGGTGGAACAACTTAATCTCTGTCGCAATGCCGTCGGCTACCTTTCAGCGGTCTGTTCCCAGTGACACAGTTTCAGAACCTGCTGCTAAATAGCTGTGCAAGAACATGCCTCCCACTCTGACACTTTGTTAGTTGTTGCCATTGGAAGTGCTGCGAGCTCTGGTGTGTGGGTTGCTGGAAGTACTGGGGCTGTGGTCTTTATCAAACAGCATAGTAACCAAACATACAACACAATATGGAGTGAATGGTGTTTATCTATAAAATGTATTTGAAAGAAGATTTTTATAAAAACTTATAATTATTCGTTTATTTTAGGAAAATAATACGGTTTATACTAAAACTATCTCAGTATTTTATAAAGGCTATGGATGGAAGCTATTTTTTAAAATTCATTAACGTGATAAAAATACTAAACCTATATGTCATAAAGCTAGTTTACCTAATTCCCTCACACTTTATGGTGCAGCACAACAGATGCCTGCAAGCTAAATAAAAACAAGGAGAGCTGGTGGAAGCAGGTGTGTCTAATCTCAATAGCTCTTACACACTCTATATGTGTATATGGATGTTAATGTTGCCGTATTACTTGGATCTGTGGCTGGTGCTGCTGCTGAAGCCTTGGAGAAGGCAGCGGGGGCCCAGACCCGTCCAGCCCACAGCCCAACTGGGACAGCACTAAGGTGGAGGGGAAGGGGAGGAGGGAGACAGGGAGCCCCAGAGGGAAGGACATGATGGCGAGAGGGAGAGAAGCAGCAGAAGAAGGAATGGGGGGGGGGAGTGTAAAGACAGGAAATGAACAAGTGGAAAAAGTAGAATATTTGCGAGGATTAGCGGGAGAGCAGGGGTGAGTTGTGGTTTCAGGAGTGCGTAAACACACACAGAGATGGAAGAAAGAGAAGCAAAAACAAATGTTGCAGGGAGGCCAAAGATAAATGACCGTGTGCGTTGAGTTTTAAAAAGCGCATTATGGAGAAATAGCGTGAATTGGGAGATTCAGGGAATTTAGCGAATAGGGCAAATTGAGAAGAGGGACAGGAGGACAGTGTAGGAGGAAAGACAGAAGGGTGGGGGCAAAAAAAAAAAAATTAAAAAAAAAAAAGAAAAGAGAAAATGTGGCAGAGAAGAAGGGGAAGTTGAGTCTCTCCTGTCAGATGTTACATGTTCCACTGAGAGGAACAATGGCTAACTTCAACAAAATGGTCATGTTTAGTTACAGACTAACAGAGTCCTAACAAACAGTAATTACAGTAATGAATACATTAGTACATCTTATCTTATTAGTACTAGTTAGTGTCATTGTGTCATTTTGTTTATGAACAGGTTAATGAAGAGAAATGTTTTGCGTGTGTGTGTGTATGCTTGTGCGGCTCATACCTGCTGCCTGTGGAGACATGAAGCCTCCCACTCCCAGATTTATGACAGCCGTTTGCTGGTTCCCTAAACTTTGATCTGACCCCTGGTCACTCTATGAAGAAAGTCAAAGACAACACAAGGCTGTCACACACAACTGCCACCAAAGCAGAACATCTGACAGTAAATCACACACATACATATTTAAAAAAAATTAGAAGGGGCAAGCAGTAGTGATTTTGGTTCCATATCGTTAGGAAGTGAAATGTTTTGGCAGTGGTTACAGATTCTGTACATCATGGCCGCTAGATGCCATTCCCTGTTATTCCAATCAGATTTGTTCAAATTAATCTTTTTTAAGATGCAGAGTGTCTCAATAACTATTAAGAGGTTTAAATATTTCGCAATGACTCAAATCCAAGCAGGATTTATCAGGTTCAGTAGTTTCAAATTGTTGTTCTAAAGCCATTATTCATTTGCCTCTTTAGGACTACATTTCTTTTGTATTTGTGACTTTTTCCTAGTCAGTCTGACATGCAGCCCAGTTACTCCATCACATTAGTTTAATTATAGCCCTTTTCCCATTGTACCTACTCGGCTCAACTCAACTTGGCCTTTTAGAGTTTTCCATTAGTTGGCAGTACCTGGTGTACTTTTGTAGTACCTACTTGGCGATCTGAAAATGTGGCATCAACAGACCGCATACAACCGACTGGCCAATGAAGTCCACTGGCGAATCCTTCCCAAAAATCAAACCCAACATTTTTACAACACAGCAACGAGGGAAATGACAAAAACCCAGCGTAGTACACCATCATCTCGATATCCTCCATTGCTGTGTTGTGTCGCATTAAAATGACGCCATGGGACTTTTGGCTGTGTTGCTATAACGACGGAAAACACATTGAGATGGCACTCAACTGTAATGGAAAATGAATGAAATTGAGTAGAGCTGCGTTTAATCTAAAATGGTGGATTTGATTTTTGTGAAGGAGTCGCACTCATGACTCATTGAGTGATGCCACTGATTGGCCAATCGGTCGCATGAGATCTGTTGATGCCACATTTTTGGATTGACTCGGATCGCTTGGATCCCTGGGCTGAATAGGTACTAAAAAGTACGTGGCAGGTACTGCCACCTAATGGAAAACCCTAAAAAACCAAGTCGAGTCAACCCGAGTAGGTGCAAGTGGAAGAGAGGCAGTACAGTGCTCCCTTTAAAACCATGCTAGTTTTCTCAGTTCAAAGGTATGAATAGTTTTTGTATTCTATATTTTTTTAATAGGTGTGCCTAAGCTAACTAACTAAATGATGCCAAGCTACACATCTGTGAAGATGGACACTAAACATGACCAAAATCAAACCTCTCATATTTATTAGAAGATAATTTCTAACATCCCTCTGTTGCTGTAATTTAATTAAGATGTGTTCTTCTATACTATGAAAATATGGTTTTTGAGTCTCACCGTCTCCCCCCCTTGCTGCTGAGGACTGGAGGTGGCTGACTGACTCTGCTGTGGGGAGAACTGAGACAGCTGCTGCTGCTGCAGAGAATTAAAGATGAGAGGACCAGTGGGGATCTGAAGATGTAAAATACACACACCAACGAACAAAAAGTGGTGGAATAAAACACAGGGAGATGAGGATGAAGGACAGAGGGAAGGCAGAGGGAAAGGAATGATGCACACGTAACCAAAAAGGAAGGAAAAAGGAAATGGAGCGTTAACAAAGAGATCGGCACTGATCATTACTACTATCAGACTAACAGAGCTACAAAGGACTATAAAGGGAATGGCACAAGCAGTGATCCTCAAACAGGCTGTGTCTGCATTCAGATTACATCCTTTACTTCTTCTGCTGCTATTCCTCTAGCAAAAAAAACTTTGCTAAGAGACTCTTAGCAGTTCAAGAGGTAGAGGGGGTAAAAATGTTATCAAGCTAAGTTGTTGTTCAGGTCAGGACATTGCATAACAAAAGATGCATGCCCCTTATTGCACTAAAGCACTTTCAAGGGTTTACACTACATTGCATATGCAATGAGGTGTGGGGAAATTTAAGCTGCTGATTTCACTATTTCAGGTGTGCCAACACAGGTGAAGATCAGGACTAAGTCACTATGCCAAACAAATACCCAGTGCATGCTACTGAAAGTGTGTTAAGACTAAACTGTAGAGTCATACCTGGAGTAGGTTCAGAGGTCTCAACCCAGCACTGCTATTCAGGCCAAAAGGACTCCCTGGAAAACAAATCAGAGTTACCACGAAACAGCGAGACAATCAGGGCTTTATCTTATCTCTTCTAATGTCATTAGACCCAGTCTTTTTTTTTTACTGGAAAGGTACACACTCTAGAACTGGATTTAATTAAAAAATAACTCTGTAAATGTAATACAAAGGTAATAAAAAAGGGGGACATGACTATGGAATCTTACCCGCCTGTGCTGCAGACTGCATGGTAGGCATCAACCCTCCAGTTGGCAGGATTCCACTCAGGTTTAAGCCTGTACCCAGCATGGGATTGGAGCCACTCATCAAAGCCTGAGGACTGCTACACAGACAGTACAAGATCATTATTAAAAGCGACAGTGATCAGCAGGTGCTATGTGGCATTCGAGACAGTTTAAAATTATTACCAGACTGAGCTGACCACGTTGATGAAATTGAGCCCTGCTGGATTGGCCATGACCTGTGACGATGTGGTTCCTGTGGTGATGGATGTACCCATGGTGGGCAGGGGAATGGTCATGACGGGCAGCGTCTGGCTTAAAGCTAGCGGCTGTTGGGTAAAAGGCGTGAGGAGGGCATTCTGTGACTGGTTCTGAACCAAGGGAGGGTCTGAAGGGGTAGGGGTCACTGAGAGTGGAGCGGAGAGGGCATCAGGGGGGTGAGGGGTCGAGCATGGCGTATTGGTAGGCGTTGGGGTAGATGGCTTGGGGGTTCCCGATCCTGAAAGAGGGCCAAAATTGTACAACACTTTAACAAGACACAGTACTTTTCAGTCAATTAAAATCCATTATTAAAACGAAATTTCAATTATGAGGCACTAGTTATACCAAAACCTGATCCCCCCCTTTAATGTCAATTTGCGTGACATCTTAGTTAATCCTTTGATAATACTGCAGAGAACAGGGCTTGCAGTGGTCCACTATTACCCAATATGTTACTGTTTTTCCATTTTTCTTAAGAAACTGGACTCTTGTCAACATAATTTATCAGAATATGTTCAAAAACTCCAAATTGGGAAAATTCAGAAGCTTAAAGCATATTTAAAACATTCCAGGACAACTAATCGGACTCCAGCACTCACTCTGATTGGATCCCATTGGGGAGAGGGAGGCAGGTGACAGCAGGCCCACCTGGCCCAGCTCCATTGAGTGCTTTCTGTTCAGAGACTGGCTTTTGGCTGGAGGGGGTGTAGGACACTTAAGTAGACCACTGGTGGTTTGTGAACTATATGGATTACCTGAAAAATAAAGAGATAACATATTTATAATAGAGATGGCACGATACCACTTTTTTATGTCTGATACCGATACTGATATCATAAATTTGGATATCTGCCGATACCAATATAAATCCAATATAGCGTATTTTATAATCAATAAAACGTTTTTTTTTTTTAATATCTTGCTTTTTGTGTAAGTTCGTACTCAAGTTTAAAAAACAAAACAAAACTAAAGTTATTCTGTTGTACCTGTATGCAAAAAATACACTGCACTCAAAATATTTCATAGTTCAGCAATACTGAGCTAATAAACTTAAACCCTACACCATCCTCCCTATGCTGGTATTTTAAAGAGTAATTTGTGGAAATATTAAGCAAACTAACTAATAGGGTTGCCAACTCCCAGAAAAAAAAATAAAAAAATAGGGAACCACCCTCCACCTCATAATGCTTAATTGATGTAATCGACTTTAATTTAATGCATGTGTAAAAAAAGAAAAGAAAAAAATGAAAAGAAAAGCACAGAAATCAATAATTTTTCTACAATAATTAAATAGATTCAACATCTTTCTTCAACAGAATTGCAGACTACACAAATGGTACCTTCCAAAAGGAAAAATTACTGTAGCTTACTAGGTTATAAATTGGACATAATCCATAATACATAGTCCATCTCTAATTTATAATACTCTTTTCCAAAAAGAATGCACTATTAGAGCAGATTTGGTTCCACCTTTGCTGAGAATGACCTTGAACAGACTCAGAAACATGTTTGCAGTGCTTTTAATGCCTCTCTTATAATGCAACTTAATTATCCTAAAGAATCAAACTATCAGATTTGCCTGCAACCCTTTTCCCCTTCAAAGTAGCACACAAATACGGGGTGTTTTTAGCCACTAATTAAGGAATTGTGTGAGGTCAATGAACAATCGCACTAGAAGTAGAAGTTGTACCTGAGGAGCTGCTTCCTGATCCTGACGGCAGTTTGATGGGAGGGGGCCGGTGCTTCACCCCTTTTCCCAACAGAGAAGTCTGGACCAGTGGAGAAATACCATCACCCTGCGTGTGACAGTTAAACCTGTTTTTTAGCCGCACTGCATAACAAGAGTAACCCAAAAGTAATGTTCTCATCTGCACTAATTCCAAATCACTGTTTGACACATCTGAATCTCCCAAGCAAAGAAGTATGAATCTTCATGTTTACCTCATCTTTGCTAGGGGAGGGAGGCCCCTGACCCATGTTGCCTGAGTTATGGGACACTTTGACCTGACACTTGACGTCTCTCTCATACACTCCTTTGTACTGAGTAAGAAATCTGTTAAAAAGATAAAAACCTTGCATCACACTTTCTAACACCAGATCCCTAAAAAGTCTGTATGAATGAATGAATTTCTGAAGAGCAGCCCACAATGTGACTTACCGGTCCGCATCGATCTTTGAACCTATGAGGAAACTGTGAATGACACACAAAAAAGTTGAAGATTAATTTAATCAAAGCAGCATTTTAAATTCAGTTTAATATAATCAGTTTGTCTTAAAGGTGTCCTTACGGAGGATGTATGAGCTTTAGGTCTGGACTGTCGTCCTCTGCTTTTGATTCTTTAGCACAGTAGATCTTCCCGTACACAAGCGGGTCTCCCATTGACTGGAAAATAGAAACCTTGGTCCTCTGAGCTTGGCCCCCAACTTCACACTCAAATGTGTAGTCATCTACAACTTCCTGTGCAAGGAAAAAACACATAAGAGGACAAAAAAAATCTAATGACAAGAACACCTTAAATGGATGTGTGCAGTGACATTATATTATTGTGCAAAATTTAGCAACTAAGTATTGTAATCATACAGTCCGTATATTTAATGTATGGTAGAACTACCTGTAGCATCTTCAGTTCCAATGCTACAGTCACAATAGAAATTGTAGATACTGGGAGAATAGTATTGCTAACTTGGTTTATATAAATATTTTGACTTTATATAATATTAACACATTAAGACATATTGAGAAGAAGCAGAGGTTGAAGAGAGTTGGGAGTAAGCAGTCTTTAATGTGGATATTAAAAGACACATTCCCTGTATTGAGCTTCAATTCTTTAACCTTCAGGCGACCAGATAACCCCAACTTCAAATTTATATTTGCCATTATCATGTTTTTAATTGTAAAAATGTTACATGCCACATGTTTAACAATCTACTTCTCCAACTTTTTTCCCCCCATTTTTAAAACAGGAACTAACCGATTGTTGTAGCAAAGGATAATGGAAACTAATGTGGAGTCATAATTTATGGCTTTATATTTTAGTGTAATTTGTTGATAATTAAGCTTCTGAGTTTTTTGTTTGTTTGTTTTTTTTACACAAAATATTTTAAATGCAACACAAGTCAAATATGATGCAAGTCTAGATTAAACAGAAGCATGGGGATAACAAAGGCTGAACAAGACCCTGACCCTGTATTGCCTAAACAAATGAAAAATTGATGTAAATTTACTTGTAGAATTTGTGTTTTTTTTTATTTTTATTATTTATTTTATTTTCTCACATAAAAATGACTGAAAACCATCATTAATCATATCAGAAAATTTTAGCAGATTTGTCACGGACAAGGAAATAGTACAAGCAACTGGATGTATTTAAAAAACACAGCATAAAAAGGTGACAGTAACAACCTCAACTCGGTGATTAATCACCGAGTTGAGGTTGTTACTGTCACCTTTTTATGCTGTGTTTTTAAAAGTGGGACAACCTCCTTGTGGATAGGGAAAAAAAATCTGTGGTTATTTGTGGACTGCATAATTTTTTTATTTATTTTTGCCCTTGAAGACCAATTGCAAGTAGCTGCACCATAGTTATCTCATTTTTTTTAGAGACGGGTTGCCTATCCTGCATATCCTGTATCCTGTGCAAACACTTTGCAATTGCAAAGGCTGCTTGGTGGGAGAGATGTCTCTAAACACCTGTGGTCTGACTCAGACTGACTGCTATCACTCTCAGACAAATTGGAAAAGATTAGTATATAACTGCCGCCTCATTTACAAACAGGAAAGATTTGGAATCAATCTGAATTAGTCTGTGCCAGTAAGCTCAACTTATCTGTGACATCTCTTTGCAATAGGAGACTCGGCTCAGCTGGTTAAGTAAATGCATAAAACCAAGTTGCAGAGCACCTTTATCACCTTCCAGTTAAGCTGCCATCCTGCAGCAACTGTGTCACTATTTGTGGAAGAACTACACTGTAGAGTGTGAGAATGTAAATGTTTGCTTTTCTTCCTTTAAAGAAATAATTACCATTTCAAACAAACACTCTTTGCTTATTTCTGACAGCAAACAGCCATTAATGATCTCAACAATGTAAGGTTATCTGCTGCAAAACTTACCTCAGCAGGCCAGATCACAGTTTTATGATCAGAGCTTGCCAACTGCAAAGACCTCTCAACCACAGCGTACTTTTCCACCTAAATCAACATACATATAAAACTGTCTGTTACAGGGTGCACATTTCATTGCCAAGAAATCACTTGTGTGGTATTAAGTGTTTTTTTTTTATAAGTAGTGTTGGATCAAGTATTTAAGTGTGGGTTTTATAAAAGAGCCACTCACATCAATTTCCTTGGGCACAGTTAGTTGGCAGTTGTTCTGCTTCCACATGTCAACACACTGCAAGAGATGATAGTTGACAAGCCAGAACAACAGGAAGAAAAACAGGAGGTGTTAGAGAAAATCTGTGAGAATTAAGTGACGTGAGATTTTTGTCAACGATAGCTAACAATAAAGAGGAACACACCAGAGTACTGACACACCAACTTGTTTTCACCTATTGTTCTAATGACTCCCTTTGGGTTTAGTCAATAATTTAGAAAGATGTAAATAGACAAAAAAATGGGATCTGTGCTTTGGAACACAGTGAATAGACCCGAGATTTTACCATGGCTGTTATGCGAAGTAACATCATCTACAATTATATTGTCATAACAAACAGGCGAATGATTCTCAATTAGGAAAACGTCTGCCAAATTTATGTGTCACGTTTTTATGTAAAACTGTAAATGATCACAAAAGTATCAGCTTTTAGAAACATTCAAAAACACAGAAAGTGTTTAAGTTACTTATGACCAGAATGTCAGTGAGATAGTAGGTCATCCAGCTTGTGAGGCATCACAATTCAGAAGTGATTGTGCAGAATTAAGGTTATAAGTTCCGTTGTCAGTGATTGGCTGTGTAATCTAACGAGGATTCAAATCCACTAAGAAATCAAAGAATCTTACAAATAGTCATATCCAGAATTATTAATTATTATTCTTTCACTAAAATCTGACGGATCAAGGAGGAGTAGCAATTCTTGTGAATTGTGGAGGGATGGAACAGACAGACACCTCACCGTGGAATAAACTTATAGAGCCATTGACTGGATGAGCTAAAAAATAATTAATGCAGCAATCAAATTGAAACAAATTTTTGGCATTTATCTTAACTCTTCTGTACAAAAGGTCAGATATCCTTGAGCTATGTCTTTCCAATGAAGCAGAAGATGCTCATATTGGTGCCACAGCAACTCTGTTATAACTATGGCTGTACATCGAATTTCCAGGTCAGTGTTACTTTTTGCCTGTCCCATTAGCCGTCAGAATTGTTGTATGAAGACCAACAAGGATACCCAATGGATTTACTTTGCCAAATGGATCATCACGGCTTTGCCGTATTGGTCCATTTGATCAACCTTTGTTGTTATTATTTATTTTATTTTATTTTCAGTTGTTACAGACGGGACAGACATGACTGAGGGATAGGAAAGGGAGAAATGCCTCCCCTGCACCCTGGTGACACACCCGCACCCCAAGGCCCTACTTGTGTGGGTGGGTGTGATGGAGCGGGAAGAGGGAGGCAGCCGGGGATGGGGAGGAGCAAGATGCCCCTCCCTGGGGCCACCTCCCCCGCTGACCCCAGTAGGCACCCCCGTCCTTCGGCACCCACCAAGGCAAGGGAGCCCAGGCCCATCCAGATCGGGGCCTACGGCAGCAGGACCGCCCAGCCCCACAGGACCCGGGGCAGCCCACCCGACCCCACCGCAGAGGAAACTGTACCCACCCTAACATTCAATCATCTCCCAGACTGCATAAGACAGTAGACACCCAGGTTAAGTTTATTCTCCACCTCTCCTAGACTCTCCCCCACCTGCAGAGTGGACTCCTGCAAGGATGGAACAAACTCCCTGTCAGTTGAAGAGCCCCCTAGTTAGGCCAATGCGCCAGAGGCCCCATGCGCCAGGGCTGAGCCCCCATGCACCCACCCGCCCACAACCTCGGCGACACACCAACAAGGACCTAAGCCCCCAAGGCCCAGCCAGAGCCCTAGCACGGAGGCGAAGCACCCCCGAACCCCAAGCCCCCACGCCTGCCCCCGCATCCACTCAGGGGCAGCCAGGCTACCAGGCCAGTAACCTACGTCCGCTAGCACAGACCCTCCCCCAGCCCTGCTGCACGCAGCCACAAGGAGAACACCTTGGTGCAGCTACTTGCAGAACAGGTCAGTGTTACTTACTAAATGGCATAGTTACAACGGGAAACGCAGCATCAGAACTAACTGTGCTGTCTTTGAGAAGGGCTTTCTCAGAGTCAATCACGCCTAACCTAGAGGCTACCAAAGCCTCCAGTGGATGTAAAATACTGCACCAACAGTGCTAACAAGACAGATCATATTTCTCCCATATTAGGTTCTCTTCATTGGCTCCCTGTTAGAATTGAATGAATTGAATCTAAAATTCTTCTCCTAAAATACAAAATCTTGACCAATCAGGACCCATCATATCTTAAAGGCCTCTTAGTATCATGTTAGCACACTTTGCTCTCAAACTGCTGGCTTACTTGTAGTTCCTAGAATTCCTTAAATTAGAACAGGAGGCAGTGCCTTCAGCTATTAGGGCCCTCTGCTGTGAAACCAAATCCCAGTTTGGATTCAGGCCCTCACCTTCCACGTAACCTGATGTGTAGCTCCTGAGAAATGCAACCACACTTGGGGCTGACGCAGCATGACTGGCGCGGATTATGGCATATGTCTAAGAGGGGATTGCAGTTACACTGCAAGTTACAATGTTACAACGTAGATTTTCTGCATGTAGATTTCGTAGATTTCAGACTAATGCCTGAACTGAAGCACAATTCAGGCATTCGTCTGTGTTTAGTTTTATCTCCTTTTTTGTTCTTTTTGCTCCCTGACCCTGATTCTGCTGGAGGCTTCTTTAAATATTTCCTTCCAATTGTCACAATTTCTTGATCATGAGGGGGATTGCCTCATTGTTGGGGTTTCCTCTTGAATACCGCAAGGTCTGTAACTTGTGATTTGAAGCGACATAAATAAACCTGAATTGAACTGAATTGAGGGGCATGGCATAAAAAAATGGATCACCTGCATCCATTATGATAACATGGACCCTCAGGTTTTACACAAACTTGTTGAGTACATACTGTTAATAAAGCCAAATGGAGCAGACAAAATACACGGAGATACAAATATAATCTATAATAAAGTAGTAGTAGTCCCAGTTCATACTTTTGGACCTCGATATATACTTTACAAACTGTGTGGATGTTTCCCACTTACGTTTCCGATCTTTGAGATCTTCAGGTCTATAACAGGCGCGGGTTTCCTCTCTTTTCTTCTCTGTAGGTAGTCGTAGAGTCGTAGCTGTGGTGGTATGGGAAGGTGGGACAGCTCCTGCTGCCTGTTCAGTGCAGCCCGAGAGTGCCTCTTGAAACACCTACAAAGCAAACAATTAACGCGTGTTAACAAAACCAAGGTCTTTGCTTCATTTATTGGCTTTTTTCCTTTATACAGTCACAGAGCTTGCACTTCCCTGCCTTCAATTTCACAAAATAAACATCCGTAAATGAGATCTTTATCCTGGCATAACCAATTTCACACTGAGCTGGCTTCAACCTAGATGAGCATGAGAGGGTATTCAGTACCGTTTCATGGAGCGAGTGTTCATTTTCTGTTTGTTGTAAAGCAGGCGGTTAGCTGTGCAAGTAACAGAAATGGAGGGGTCCAGGCACAGAGGTTCAGCTGTAGCCAAAATCAACTGACTTTCCAACTGCAGTTTGTCATCCTAAAGCAAAGAGAAAGGACATGTTACAGAAAACACCTGAGCCTGGAAAATTCTGGGATGGAGCACCATACTAGTAAATCCAAATGCACTTTAAATGAAAACACACAACAACATGTTTCAGATAAAACATACTGAACAATACTTTACCTGTGTCCACTTGTGGTGGTCACTGGTCATGGCATGGACATCACAGATGAGAGTCTGCAGGGAAACAAAGTTGTTACGAATATAATGTAAGTCAGATTTATTGTGCTAAAGATCTAATGTGGTTTTCCACTCATGCCTCCTCGTAATCTTATTCTATCTTTACCTGCATGGTTGGCCGCAGCAGGATATGTCTGCTCTGATAGGTGGGAATCTTAGTATTACCAGACTGCCGGTAGTCTCTGACCTCTACTATTACACAGCCACAGTGGAAGATGTTCACCTGACACACAAAGCATGGCCGAGAGGTGGTTACAAACACAGAGAGCTCACTAATCAAAATAGAAACCTTACATGGTTCTTAGCTCTTTATATATTTAAGCGGAAATGTGACACTTTTGCACCATCTTTTGCTTAAAATGATTGGATTTCAAAATGCACCACGCTTGCACACAACCTGTGATTTCTCCAACAAATCCACCAAAATAGGAGGCAACTCCTCAGCGTCGAGGTACTCCAGCAGTTCTCCTTCTTCATATGGCAGGCGAATGGTTTCAGAATCTAGAAAGTAACACAAACATGCAGGTGAGACAACTGCAGCACAAAGAGCCAAAAAAACCCCAAAAACCCAACGGTCAATGTAATGATCTAACTTGACTTACCAGATCCATTTTTGCCCCTGAGCATTAAAGAATAGCCTTCATTCCCAGGGTACAGATTGACCACCAGACATGATACAGACTCCTGAGACACCAGCTTCTCCAGTAGATTCACATTTCTCCTCAAATTCTTCAGAGAGACAGCAAATGAAACACACAAAAGACAAATTCTCCTCATTAGAAGCACAAACGTTATTAGTTATACCTGCTTAATGGCATTTTAAAAAAAATCTTTTTTCTTAAAAAAAGAAATTTCTCTTGTGGCGAGTGCAACAGAACCAAGGACTCCTCGAAGTGAAGCCTAAGATGCCCCCCCCCCCGAAAAAAGAAGAAACATGTATACAGATTAGCAGCAGTGTTTCTTTCCAAAGAAAAAAAAGAAAATCCACAAACCTAGTCATAAGCAACTTAACATAGGGTCTTTTTTACCTTTCTTTCTTTTTTTTCAATGAAAAAACAAGCATGCCACTAGGGAGAACGACTCCGTAAATGTTTATATCCTGTCATGCTGTTACTGGCAATAATCTCTTATCACAGCTAGATATAGACTTCCTTCTTCAAAGTTATGTAGTGAATGTGGTTAGTTAGAGGGAAAGTAGTTCCTGCAAGAGGCTGCTGAACAACGTCTTTTGTTGTTGTTTTTTGAACAATTGGTGGGGTTTAGGTTATGATTTATTTGAGAAAAGACACATCTTAAAAATTGGACAACTCTTGTCAAAACAATCGAAACAACAAAAGAAAATGTCAATTTATTCTTGAACAAATTGTCTCTCTAAAAGAATTTTTAAACAACAATTTTCCTCCCCAGTGGCATGACAATTTTAAATAAAAAAATACACAAATAAAATAAAAGGTACTTTGAAATGCTCCCTTATTCACAAGAGGTTGCCGCAGCAGGTAGCATGTTGGATTTGGCAGATCTTTATGCTGGATGACCTTCCTTGCTCAGCCCTAAAGAAATCTGTGTCTACTCCCCAGATCAAACCAAGAATCTTTAACTTGTTTGGCAAATTTGTGAAGCAGTAATATACAGATCCATTAATTTATAAAAATGATAGAATGTGTATTCTCCAATGAACAAATACGAAAGCCAATTTAGATATTCCTGAGCTAATGTTTATAATACTTTAATAAACATGTACATGTTTATTCCAATATTATTTAAAGATAATAATGTGAGTTATGTCCAGGTTAATTCAGCAGGTTTTGCAGTAAACAAAAGCAGGAAGCAACTGTAAGTTCCGGATCCACAAGTTACTGGGGTAAATAACTTACAAAATTGTTGTTTCTCTAACTTTACTACAGCTAAAACGTGTTTGTGCAGGTGACGGGAAACAAAGCGGTTTTGTGTCGTAAACAAAAAAAAATCCACTTTTTCCAAATCATTCCCCAAGCTTGGTTTTAAGTAAGGTTTTATTAGATCCAGTAATTACCCAGTAACAAGTGAGTCATGGTGCATAACACAAACCTTTAACTCTGGCTCTTTCTCACATTCCTCTATGTAGAGCTCATAGAGCTTCTGGTACAAACTCTTCCTCCCGCCAGATGAAATTCTTCGTTTGGCTGGTCGTTGTCGAGCACTTTCAACAATGTACTGAATAACAAATAACACAGGCGTTATTAATGAATAATGGGGCAGGAAAGAACTTAATAACACGATGAATAAATTGTGCTTTATGTTTCTGAGTACATAGTTTTAATTTATTTCAGAGCAAAAAAAAAAAAAACAAAACCAGTGGTTATATTACCTCCGCTCGATCCAATGCATATTCCAAAACTTGTTGCTTTGGGGGATAAAATTAAAGTGAAACAGATCAGCAACAGCTGGAAGTCACAGACCAATAGAGATCGGAATCTCACATGAAACACTACAGCAGGAGTCCTTTGTCTATGTAGAGATGAATGAACTGACAGAGATTGAACTTACCATTGTGGTCCACCGCCAGCTGCGAGCTGAGTGACGGTAGACGATGCTGTCCTTTCTGACCCACACTGTCACCTTCCTAAAGTGACCATTCACAGCCTGCACGGCAACACAACAGAGGACACGCAGGCAGCGTGAAGAGAAAACAAAAACACAGATTACTGGTACATTCATAGAGATGCACTCAGTGTGTTGCTGGCACGCTGGTAAGAGAGTGCTGATGCCAAATCATCCAGCTGACACTCAGAGATGCCACACACAAGCAGCTGCAAGGACTGAGGAGCCAAACTGTTCCATCTAAGTTCTTTTACCATTAGCTTATATTTTAAAATGCAATAACAAAGTAAACGTGACCACACGATGTGTCAGAGTTAATACAACAAAACAGCAAAGGTTAGTGAACTCTGGTGACTGTGAGCCCAGCCAAGAGAGAGCAGCCGAATAGCAAGAACTCGTTGATGCCTGACCGTTGGGCTAACGTAGCCACCGTTAGCATGCTAGCCCGTTCCGAGTGGGCAAAGCTGTAAGTTACAAGCTACGCTGCCAGGCTCACGTCTTCCGAGACACAACCCGAACAGGCGACGACAGTCTAAACAAACAGAGTCGACTTGCCTTTTAGATTGCATAGCGGTCGACTGTAGCTCCGATGTAAGAAAACGAAATGAAATTGAAATATCGGTGTCTTCATTGAAAAAAAGTCGGAGCAGCAGCCATTTTCTTCCAGTGTGTCAACAACAGCTAAACTTCCGGTTTGAGCAGCTGTGGGCGGAGCCATACTGAGCGCCTACAAAGTTGCGCGTACTCTTGGACTATAGGTATATTTGTATATTTACAATAGGCTATAACTGTTCGTAAATAGAGGCTGTCCCAAACTTGAAAGCAAGCACATAATTAGTTGCAGATGTAGACCTCTGGAGGTTTCAACTTTATTTACTTTCATTACTTCAAGCAGTTTGGTCATATTGGCACACTTGGAAGCAGATGGGATTCCTGCAGAGTGAAACTGGTCATTGTTTATGATAAAGTCATCTGGACTTTCTTTCAAACAGAAATGTTTTGAGAACTAAATGACACAAACCATACGGGAGTATGCTGTTATAGGTAGGCAGAAAGGGGAAGTTGCAAGGAGTAGAGTGAAAGTAGATGAATAGAGAGTGCAGGCACGGTGGAGTGCGTAGAGATGAGTTTCAGGTGTGATTTGTGAAAGAAGAATATCAGCAAGAGTGAAAGGGAAGGCTTACAAGATGATAGTTAGACCTGCTGTGATTGGAGAAGATGCCACTGACAAAAAGGCAGGAGGCTGAGCTGTAGGTGGCAGAGATGAAGATGCTTATTACATTTTTTATTGGGAGGTACTATGGACAGGATTAGAATTGAGTATATCAGAGGGACAGTTTAGACTGTGGATAGTGGACCCCCCCTGCAATTCTGATAAGGATAAGTGGAAGAGAATGGATGGATGGATAGTTCTATAATTTCATGAGTGAATAAGTTCATAAAAAAGCAAAAACATGTTGTAAATGCATCTACAGTTACATGTCTTATAATATTGTATATTTTTAAAGGTTTTTTTTTTTTTTTTTAAATGTTTCTAGGCTAAATTATACCTAATGTACTATGTCACCTTTATTACTAAGCTTAAATATGTTTTGTTGATCTTTTGTTTTTTTCTGTTTTTTTGTCAAGAAATAAAAAAAAAAACTAAAAAAAAAAACAGCTCTTATGATAGTAAAGGTTGCTGACTCCCCTGAACCAGACACATTTGCTATTTTTTTTTTTTTTTTGCAAAATATATGATTAAATTAATCTGAAGATTATAGTTTACATCTTGATATGAAAGTCTGGTGGAAAAACAAATGTGTGCAACTGCTGATTAGCCAATGCTATCAATTTAAAGGATGTAAGTAAAATAAAATTCTTTAGAACTGCGGACTGAACTCAAACATCCCCCAAGGCAGCTCACTCTCTGGGCTGCATCTACTTTTAAGGGAATTGTTTTGTAATGTTTATATATTAATTTTGTTTCCTATGTTATATTTAAACATACTTTAAGAAGTTTGTAGTGCAGTAAAAACCTGATAAAGGTGGTATGACAGATGTTTATTTTTATTACCAAACATTATGTAGTAGGTAATGGATAATATTAGGTGCTAATTTTTAAATAACTGGACATAAATGACTTAAGCTTATTTAACTTGTTTATTTCTCAGCTCACTCTCTTTCTCTTGACAATACTTCAATATTTTATGTAGAGATATAACACAAACAAGGAAAGGCAAGATGTGAAATGTAAAAGTGAGGTCAGAAGTCAAATGTTACATGATATTGGGATGCAAACAATTTTGTGATATTTAGAATCCCCATACACCAGTATCATTTCATACATGTTCCCAGTATAAACAGAGAAGGATAAAAGTAAAAATTCAATTTTATTTATACAGCGCCAAATCACAACAACAGTCACCTCAAGGCGATTGTATGGTAGACCCTACAATAATACATACAGAGAAAACCCCAACAATCATATGACTGTCACTCTGTGGAAAAACCTGCATGTTCAATTTTTTTTTCTTTTTTGTATATATGATTTTACTGTGTTTTGTACATTTCAGTTTTAAATTTTTATTTGCCTGAACTTCCTGTTGAAAACCTTGTAAATTAAGGAAAAAAAGTGGTTCATTAGTAAATGCAATTTTTTTTTTCTTGAGCTTTTATTCATATGACTGCTGCTCTGTCATATTAAATAATACAGAGCAGCAGTTGCAGTATATTAATTCAGGTTTCCAAGTAATTTAAGAATTTATTTGTTAATCAAACAGCAGCTACTTAGTTGCCAAAATTGTTGCAAAAACAAATCGTTATTCTAATTTTTGAAGGGATATTTCAAAGAGGATGAGAAGTCACTTAAATGATAGTAATTCTTTACATACAGTTACAGTGTATGTAAATTGGTTGGTTGAAATGCCATGACTGTGCAGTAGGGGGAAGTGTAGGATAGCCAATTCATCATGCTCATGTTTCATGTTCCATTTGGCCAACAGATGAGGTGCACCAATATAAAGGAAAATTGATTTCATATGCTATAAAGTTACTGTGCTTTTTTCTTTCTTTCTTTTCTTTTTTTGTACAGTTTTTGTACAGTTTTACTTCTGAACTTACCTCGTAAGCTTAATATTCACTTTAGAACACAACAGAATTTTAGTTCTGAGCATATACTGACTTCAGATTATGCTTTAGAAATGTATATAAAAGCATTTTATATAGCCAAAAGAACGGACATGATTATGATTTCAAAATATACACTTCACAGAGAAGTTAGATAACGGAAAAGTTCTGAATATTATTGGTTTATTTCAGTATTAGTGAGCACCATAAATGTTCTGGCTGAGAATCAGTTAGGACCGGTACTCACCTGCTCTGCACACACACATGCACACAGGCAAACACAGGACGGGGCTTGCCTGAGGTCAGTCACATTTCAAATGAAAGCTTCTAAAACATTTGTCTGTATACAAAGGGCAGGACTGCAGTTCATTTGCCTGTGGAAACGGCTTTGACTGACTCAGTAATGAATGTTTCTCCACTGACTCAAATCCCACAGCTAGCTTTATGAAGTGACGAATTTACCAGAAATGAGGCCTTACAGCAACACCACTTCTTGGACAGTTATTTGAAAGGAAAATAACAATCAAATGAATGGGTTACTGAATTTTTGTGTGGACATACATAAACAGATTAAGAAAATGAGCAAAGGAAAAGTCTGTTTCACATTGGATAATGAACACCATTCTCCAGCTTTTATACTCTGACTTGTTTCTGTCCAGGACTTTCGCAAAGACCCAGGCTGCGATGCTGAATTGACATATCTCCTCACAATTCATTCTTTATGTCATTACAAGCTGAAATTCATTGGAGTTTGGCATGAACAGTGAAGTATCACATAATACTGAACAGCGGGAGAGTTGGAGACTGTGCTGAAGAAAAGCGCAATGTGACTAAATTGGATGCCAGTACTCCGTAGAAGTGCCCAGATCAGCCTTCCTTACTGGATCTGGAGCATTTCTAGATGTGTGAAAAGATTAGCATCAGAGCTTGTGCAAAAAGCAAAGTCACATAAATCTGTTAAAAGTTACTGCAGATATGTGCACCGTGAATGCATACGAGGAAGGTATGTTCCATTTTAAGCTTATTGGGATGATTATTCAACAGCTGACATGTTCAGAGTAAACACTGAAACCTGGCTGGCAAGTTAATATACAGTATGAATCAAGTCATCAAAATGTAAAAACAGCTGCTCTCAGATTGAGGCCGCATATTATAACAGCTTACATACACTGTAATACACGTTGATTAAATACAGTGGCAGCACGGTGGTTAGCACTGTTGGTCCTGAGTTCAATTCAACCATCAGGCCAGGGTCTTTCTGTGTGAAGTTTGCATGTTTTCCCCATGTTTGCGTGGGTTCTCCCCGGGTACTCCGCTTCCTCACACATATCCAAAGACATGCAGTTAGTGGGGATAGGTTAATTGATCAATCTAGGTGTGAATGCGGGAGTGAATGTCAGTGCGAATGGTTGTTTGTCTCTGTATGTTACACTGCAACAGACTGGCGACCTGTCCAGGGAGTACCCCGCCTCTCGTCCTATGACAGCTGGGATAGCCCCCCTCCCGTAAAGGATAAGTGCAAGCAAATAGATGGATGGATAAATAAAGTGCAATGCAGTGTTTTAAAATGAAGGATGTTTGTTTCCACACACATTTTTTGCTGATTTTTCACACTGAATGTATACATTTTTCTGTTTACAGAAACCTCTGTAATAGTAAAAACAAAAACAAAAACTGATGGCAGAAAATTACCAGCACATTTTCCCTTTTTGTTGGAATGTCTTTCTTTTCTTTCTTTCTTTTTTACAGTGTAGTAATCCTTTGTTCCTAACAAATAAAAAAGACAGATCAATACTCACAAACTACCACTCATGAATTGTGGAGAAAGTTGCATTTGGGTTTTTGGATATTGTTTCCAAAATAGACCTGCAATCATTTTGCTCATCCAAGGTGCACTCTGGCAAGGTAGCCAGAGGCCAAGGCTGACGACTTACTATATAGGACATATTTGTATGCAATGGTGGGATTGCAGTATAAACAGCTCTTGGTTTTCATAGGAGTGTACTGAGTCCAGACCACATTTGTTTTTCTTTGGATAAACAATATAGTATAGTACTTTATTCTATTGTAAACAGTATTTTATTCTATTTTATCTTATCCTATTCTGTCTGTTCTTAATTTTTACTGCTCTTAACTTGTACTTTCTGGCGTGACCAAAAATTTCCCACGTGTGTGACTAATAAAGGTTTATCTTATCTTATCTTAAGACATCTTTTTTCGTAGCTGTCTCAGATCTATTGGGGACACCGTAAGGATGCTTGACAGTGATTACATTACAATTAAACAAATTAATGTTCAAATTAACATTTGCTTTGATCAACAGCTGTTGTGTTTTTCACTAATAACTACAGAATAAACTTGTTCTGGCTTAATTAACTGTGTGACTTTGACCTATTCTTTCCTGTACGATCGGGGGCGATCGTGGCTCAAAGAGTTGGCAGTTCGTCTTGTAACTGGAAGGTTGCCAGTTTGAGCCCCGGCTTGGACAGTCTCGGTCAATTATATTCTTCCCTAAACGCTAGTTCCAGAAGCGTATCTGTAACCGGAAGGTCGCTGGTTCGATCCCTGG